CTGCTTAAGTTGCAAGCAGGGTGGGGAAAACCCAGACAGACCCTGTAGGCCAGGGTAGGGGGTTAAATCCCTCTCCAGTCATACTCAGCCTACTGGGGCCTAGCCACACCCCACCCCACCCCACCCCCAGCTCAACTTCTGTCTAGCCTGCTGGCCACTGCAGAATGGAAGGGAGGGCTTGCTCTAGCACCCCTAGCTTCTAGCCTGAGCCACTGCAGGCATGTGCCTGCATTTCCAGAATCAAAAGTGAATGTCTATTCACTTGTTTCTCAGTTCAATCAATGCAGGTTAGACTAACTTGCAAAGATTGAATCGATTCAGACTCAGGCTTTTTGAATGCCTGTACTTAGCCCTAGTGGGCAAAGGACCATTACTTTCCCTAATGATAATCTCACAAGGTCTACAGGCAATCCCCACTTAGCATTATTTTGCTATAACCCACAACGCGGTTTCACTTAGCATTATTTTGCTATAATGCTCATTTGAAATTGATACCCGATTTCAATTAGTGCTCAGCAAGTTTCGTTAGAACACTTGAGGTTGCCATCTTGGGTCATCAAATACTTTCGGTTTCGCTTAATGCTCAGCTTTTCAGGAACCAATCAAGAGCACTAAGCGGGGGTTGCCTGTATTTCAATTTTTGTGGCTTTAGCTCTGCACAGTGTACTTGATGGCTCCTTGGATTGACAGGGTGACTATGGGCTTTTGGTGGCATATCAAAGGCAAATTACCTTGTTTTCCTTTGAATGTTTGTAACTGGATAGGAAGACAAGGCCTAGTTAATTCATTTTGAAAGGCAGTCCTTCTAGAAGCAAAACAATTCATTTTCAAGCAAAATGATGTAAGGCTCTACAGTGTGTGGAGCTCTGACAAAGGTACAGTAATTCCATAATGGTATATGTAGTTCCTGCAAATTTGCAGTAATTCATTTTCCACAACAGCGTAATGGCACAAAGGAGCCATTGCCAGCTATAGTATCTATAAATCAAGCATTAACAACCCCCAAGAAAATACCAAGAGCAATGTTCAGTCAGTATTTTTTTCAATAAAGATTTCCTAAGGTTATCACCATTTTAATTTGTTAGAGCAGTTAGACTACTGCAGGCTACTATATTTTGCTCATAAAGACGTTTGACTATGAACCCATAAAATCTGAAACAGGAAATAATTTAAGTGAACTGCTTTCTCTACAACTTTAAAATTTCAAGGATAGAATATAAGTAAATACAATTTTACAGAAAAACTACTTGGAATATTAGAGAGATGAAATATTTAAAAGATCACATACATATTAAAATAGGTTACATTTTAATTTTCAAAATAATGGACAAAGTGTATCAACATGCTGTCAGTAAAACATTCAGTCTATTGATAAATTATTGGATTATGCCAGTCTTCAAACTGTGCATCATTTTACATTGCATGCTAAGGGCCAAATTCTTGTTGCAGTTATAAGCCCCAAGCAAATGTGTTTGACAGGGGTACATGCAAACCTTGTGGGCAAAGATTCATCCCTGTGACCTGGAGTCACAATACACAACAATTGCACAGGCCAGTGTCTCTAAGTTTGATCTCTAATGAAGCTAATGATCAGGGATCCTGGTTTTCTCTGTTTAAAAATGCTAATTATCTCATTTAAAAAAATGCAAATTCTCTGATTAAAACCCCTAAAATCTGCATTTTTCCACAATTAAAATGAAACACCACTATATATAAGGGTGTCAGTTGAATACAATGTTTTATTGATATATTTACAATTTTAAAGCAATTTGGAAGCCTACCAGCAACACAATTACTATAATAAAATACATTCTAAATACCTATACATTTTGGCATTTGATTTTGTGTTTTTTTATCATGGAAAATCAGAGCTCCCTTTGCCCCCTTTGTTCACCAGAACGTGGGGCCAGCTGTGACTGTCCCCTCTCCGCTTCCACTGTTTTGTGGCGCTCAACAGCTCTGATATGCCAGTGCCCTGTCCATGCCATTTCCCCTCATTCCCAATCCATGGCCCCTCAAGGCCTGCTGGTGCCCCTCACTCCCCAGCCACAGCCCCCTGCCCCCCCACTCCAGCCCTGCCAGAGGGGGCCCCCAGCTGCCAGGGCCATGGAGCCAGAGACCCAGGTCTGCAGCCCCCTCCCCCACCCCAGCAGTGCCCAAGCCCTGGCTGCCACCCATGGGAGATGCTGGCTGCTGCATGCCCATGGGAGCGTGGAGGCCTTTTAACCCCAAGGGAAGCCAAGATACATGGGCTCCCCCTCCTGTGTGGGCAGCACAGCTCAAGGGGAGCACATTAGGGGGTGGATGCAGGCTCAGGGCTCTCTACCTGCTGCCCTCCCCCTGGGGCCTTCACATAGGTAAAATGCAGGTAGCCTGCATCCGCCCCTGCTCCATGCACAAATCTGGGGGTCATGTGCCCCTCACAACCCCCAGGAGTGCATGCAGCAGCGGAGAACCACCCCCCGCACCCGCCGCCCCCCAAGACAAGCAGCAGTTATGTCCCACTGGCCACCTGGGCCCTGCAGCTATGAATTCCCAACCAGGGCCTCAAGGCCCATGTAGCATCCCAGCTGGTCAGCAACCCTAGCCCCCGCCAGCCCTACCCAACTCCCTCCCTCACTGTGGGGACCTCAACTTCCTTCTTCCCTGCTCCCCTCCCAGCTCTACCCCTGACTTTCCTGCAGGGAGGTGTTCTCATGCTGCCTGGTTGCCATGTGCATGTGTGTACATGCATGCACACGGCATCCCCCTGCCTGATTGCTTTTCCACTCTCCCCCAGCCCCTTGCCAGCCTGCAAGGGTAAACCCATCATTTCCCATGCTCTTCTCCATAAAATGAGAAAATCTGGGTTTTTCCCCTTAAAAATAAGAAAACCTGATTTTTACTGCATTTGTCCATAGTGAATAGAAAACCTGGACCTCTGCTAATGATGTAGCCAAGTTAAATAGTGGCTTTGACCATTGCACTATTTTAACTCGCCCTCCCCTCCTAACATCAAATCCTTATTGCACCAAAGGCAGAACTACAGAGCATGAGTGATGGGTGCCTCCTGAATCTGCGGGGGCACCTGCAGAAGCCACTGACCCCATCAGGGGGGCACCAGCCCTACCAACAGCATCAGTGTCAGCTGTCAGGGGGGCACCGGCCCCATCGGGGGGGGGGGG